AAGTTGTTATCAGTAAGCCTAATTAAACAGTACAGACAGAAAGATGGCAGTAGAATAAAGCATTCTATATTAAGAGAAGGGAGAATATAATCAGTAGTTCGCAGCCTCATGAATGAAGCACAGCATATAACAAAGTCTGGCTGGGATTTGGGTAACTAACGTACCTAAACAGGGACAGACTGAGGCCCCTATTAATGGGATACTCTACTTGAAGTAACCAACCACACTCAGGAAAACATGTCAACCAGAGAGTGAATCCTCTAATTTTAGTGAGTCGGCTCCCTTACTGGCAGTTTTCCTACTTTCTATCTTAAAAGGGAATCCACACACTCAACACCGCAAAATGGTAAGACATCTCATCTCACCCCTATATCGTGGGTCTGGCACTTCTGGGTCGCACAAAAGCCATCGTTCTAACTAGTGTGGGATTTATGCTCCCCGTTCAGTGAAGGGCTGTCTGTGGCTGTTTGCAGGGTGCAGGCTCCCTACGTTGACTCTCGCTTCCTGTCACACAGTGGTATCACCGTGACGGACCCTTGACATGAACAAGTCTTTGACTGAAAAACTGATGTGATCTGCAGCCAGTGAGGGGAAGCGTGGTGGCCCGGCGGAGTACCTCGGCAGGGTCAGCAGGGTGGCACTGCGGGAAGGCACCTCTGCGGCCCCGAGCGAGGTGAGCAAGCCTTTCCTGAAGTTTTCCTTCCTTCCACAACATTAACCTGCCAAGCCTCCCACCCCCACCCCGACCTATTAGGAAAAGTCACGCCGGCAGCTCACTGAAGGGCAGGGGGACAGCTCCTGGCGCCCCACAAAAGTTGGGCTCGGCGGCTGCCACAGCTTAAAGCTCCTGCAGGACAGTCGGGCCGACACCGCCTCCTCCGGGGGCAAACCTGAGCTGCCAACTTTCCCACTGCCCACTCCTCTGCGCACAGCAGCCCAAACTTTGCGGTTCGCCCACCGGCCGCACCCCGGGCGAGCGGCGGCGGCGCTGACCTTCACGCCAGCTCCGGGTCCCGCACTGGCCGCCGCCCGCCCCCCGAACCTCCCTGCCTCCCCTAGATCCCTCTGCCTGCCTCCCCCAACCCTCGTGGGAAGCCCGCGGTGTGGGGGGTGACGGCAGCAGCCCGATCCCGCGTATCACGACTGCCCACGACCCTCGGGGCTCCGGAGAGCCTGGGTCCCGGCGCCTCGGCTGCCCACTCACCATTGGTGAAGGGCTCCATTTTCCCCCCGCCGCGGCTCCTCACAGCCCGAGCGCCCGAGCTTCCTACTCCGAAAGCTGAGGCGGCCCAGCCGACTGAGCATGCCCAGCGCGGCCTCCAGGGGCTGCCAGGGAGGTGCCGCGAGGGGCGGCGCCGCTCCGCCGCTCCGCCGCTCCGCCGCTCGGTGGCTCCGCCGTTCCGGGTTTTCGTGGCGGCTGCAGAAAGAGCGAGGGAAGCAAGAGGGAAATGCACAGTCTAACCCCCGGCGGCTCCGCGGAGAGGCTAGGTGGGAGCGGGTGCGCGCTGGGGCGGGGCCTGGGCGGGGCCGGGAAAGCCCCGCCCCGCCACTGCCTGAAGTGGACCTGGCTGCGGCGCTCTCCCTGGCCGGGAACCGTGTTCAGTCACTCAACAATTGTGGAGCCCTACTGCGACCCGCCCGATTCTGGACGCCGAGACACCCGCACTGCGCCAGAAAACATGGTCCCAGTCCCAGGAGCGGACATTCCAGAAACAGACCATAAATAAACACAGAAGAGACACGAGTGTAAAGTCAGTGCCCCGCTGCGCATTAAATCGGGGTGACGTGATGGCGAGTGAGTGGGTAGCTAATTCGGATGGCTTGGTGGGACATGGCCTCGCTGAGCAGGTGCCACTGAAGCCGAGGTCTGAAGGCAGAGCAGGAACCTGCGGGCGAAGGTCGCTATCCGAACTGCGAATCGCCGGTTTCCCTGAGGAGGTTGGCCGCTGAGGGATCACTGTTCGAAGGACCGAGGGAACGGGCGCTGTAGGTCTTTTCGGCAGGGATGCCCTCCCGCATCATAGTGCCCCGGGAGGGCGGTGAGGAGGAGACGGAAGAGAGGGCAGGGACCCCGCAGGGCCGAGGGCTCCCCGGGGTCCAGGGCCGAGGGCGCCCTGGGGTCCAGTCCCGGGGCTGGCGGCTGCGGGCGCGGCCTTTAGGTGCGGGCGGATAACAAAACCCGGCGCCGGATCGCCCGGGCCGGATCACAGACGCCGCAGGATGTGGGCAGAAGGCCTGCCTGTTCCAAGCCTTAAATCAACACCTGCGGTTCCCGGGGGTGCCACCGCTGGGGCTCGCAGCAAGGCTCCGCGGCGCTAGGCCCGAGAAACCGAAACTCCCCTAGTCGCCCCTGCCCCCCAGCTCTCGCGCCATTGCCTCCAGCCCCGAGCCACCATTGTTTCCAGTGCCAAATCGGGCAGCCCCGCTAGCCTCCCGGGCCGAACCGCCAGGGGCCCCGTGAGCCCGGAGGAGGCTCTTCGGGGAAGGCTTCCTTTTCCCCCTCTCGGTCTGCGCATCGCCACCACCCTCGCTGCAGAGGCCGCCGCCCGCCCAGCGCGCCACCACCGCTTCCTCTGCCTCTTCCCCTCCCTCAGCCCCGGCCCCTGCATTGACTTGGCTCGGGCTGAGCCTCACTGCGCCTGCCAACTGTCACACGCTCCGAGGCTGTCAACAGCGGGGCGCCAGGGACAAACAAGCCGCGGCGAGCGCAAACAGCCTGCGCAAACAGGGACGGCCAGGGTGTTGTTTGACCAGCACTGGAATTGGAAACTAGGTTTCGAAGAAGTCAAGTCGAAGTACAATATTGTATTTTAAACGGTCTGTTGTTATTACATCCCTCACAATCCACGCTCTACTTGAAACTTCCAGTGCATACCAACTGCACTTAGAAAAAAAAAAATGAAACTCCTTGCCTAACTCTGGGACCTCATCAGCACATTCTCACCATGTTTTGGTCACAGAGGCCTTCATGCTGTTCCTGGAAGTCGCCAAGTTCCATCCATCATTGTTAATCATTCCTTTTGTTCGCTCTTCGCACTAGAACTGTTTCTTCTGCTTAGTACTTTGCCTACTGATTCCATCTTGTCATTTAAGTCTCAGCTCAGATGTCATCTCTGCAAAGAACCCTTGTCTGACCATACATCTAAAATAGCCACACTCTATAAAGAGTTGGCCTTGCTTTATTTCCTTCTCAGCACTCATCACTGTCTGAAACAATGTTTTGGATTTGTTGTTTATTATCAGTCTCCCTCTCAAGAATGCAAGCTTTGTGAGGGCAGGGTCGTAATCCTTTTTAAAGCTGTATCCCCAATGCGTGGGTAAGTATACAATAATTAATTTTTGCATGAATAAGTGAAGGACGTAGTGGTGTTTAGAGTTCGCTTCCACTGCTGCAAGCCCTTCCAGTTAATGACTCCATACTGAATGATGTGTTTGATCAGTACAGAGAAGATTTCTGTATCATATGATATGTCAGAGTTGCTGTCTTCCTAATGTGTGAAAGGTAATCAGAGCCCTTAGGCTGGCCCCTTGTGCTGGCATTTCAGAACCAAAAATAGTGAACCACAGGGGCTGATGTATCCCAGTTCAGATATTATACAGTATATGCAGAGCTAGATTTTGTTAACATACTTCACACATTGTATTGCTTAAATAAGATGCTCTTCTCTATATTTTAGGTCATGTCATATACCCTTGGAGTTATTTTTGCAACCAAACCACTTAGTATAGGAGATATTTAAAACACCGCAGCTTGTTAAATCGCCTCACCTCACGTCACCTGTAACCTACAGTCTACCATGCTTTTAAGTGTGAAACATGTTACCTTGTGTTTTGTTTTAAATATCCCAACTCTGCAGAGATATGTGGTAAAAAATGCACTAGCGAATATAGGTGGATCATTATGTCTTTTTGAGATTTCTTTGACAAAGAGGCAAATGATTTTTTTGCCAACCTCTTGCCTCCCGCCCCTCCCATTCCTTCACACACACGAAGACAAGAAGGACCATTTCAAGACATGTAAAAATACAAAAAATAAAATTAGCCAGGCATGGTGGCCAGCTATTCCGGAGGGTGAGACTTGAGAAGCTGAGGCATGAGAATCACCTGAACCCGGGACGTGGAGGTTGCAATGAACTGAGATTGCACCACTGCACTCCAGCCTGGGCGACAGAGCAAGACTCCATCTCAAAAAAAAAAAAAAAAAAAAAGTCCTGGTGCGGTGGCCCACACCTGTAATCCCAGCACTTTGGGAGGCCAAGGCGGGTGGATCACGAGGTCAGGGGATCGAGACCATCCTGGCTAATACGGTGAAACTCCGTCTCTACTAAAAATAAAAATAATAATAATAATAATAAAAATAGCCGGGCGTGGTGGCGGGCGCCTGTAGTCCCAGCTACCGAAGGCTGAGGCAGGAGAACAGCGTGAACCCGAGAGGTGGAGCTTGCAGTGAGCGGAGACCGCGCCACTGCACTCCAGCCTGGGCGACAGAGCGAGACTCCGTCTCAAAAAATATATAAATAAATAAATAAATATGGTTTCATATAGGAAGTAAAAATAGTAAACAAACCAAAATGTTTCAGAATCCTACCTAGGAGCAAAAGAATAATAATGAAGTTTGTTTTGTTTCATTGGATACTGTTTTACGTTTGACTTTATAGAGCCTTTTTGAGGGAACATGGTATCACAGTTTCACAGTCAAAACCCATTATGTTTTTATCTTTAACACCCGCCTATCCTCCCACACAGAACTTGCTCTTTAGTTTAAAAATATGACACTTTAAGTTATTATGAAGTTACTATTCATTATCAAAGGAGATAATGTGACATTATCTACTATACCCATCTACTTACTGTCTTCAGAATCATTGCTGTCTACCATTTAACATTTGAAAACCATTAATTTGGAGAGTTAATTATAATACATAATAAATAGCATCACAGGAAAAATATAAGCACCCTGAAAAACAAATTGCATTTGTTTAAAGAACTGACAAACTTGATAATGAATATAGGAATATTTTTATCAAAATAAAACACTTGGTATACCATAGATCAGCAAATCCCAGCCTCACATTGAAACAGATAAGGAGGGAACTACTATCTAGAGAGGGTAGAATACCTACTCACAATCCAGGAGCAGACATGGACCGGAACTCAGACCATCTGTGTTCTAAACCAGTGCTTCAGAGTTTTCTGTTGCCTTGCAATTTCCACAAGCAAATTGGGGTCAATGACAAAAATCCACAAAAGGGATATGGAATAGAGAGAAATATAGCTAATTTCAGCTATTAGAAGTCTATTCCATTAATCATTTAATTAAGATTCCAACTTAATTAGTTGGTATTCCATAGGGAATTTGGATTCAGCCCTACTAAATTATTTTTCTAATTATTTTGAAATAAGCAACAACAATACATTAATTCAGTGAACACATTTGAAAATGTTATTTGTTCAGCACTCTTACAGAGGAATCTGCTTCCCGCCAGGGCAAGGCTGACCATCGTGAGGTTTCCGGCCACCCTAAGGAATGAAGGAGTCGATATCTCATTACCTTTGTAACCCATTTGCAGCACACATACACTGCATTAATTAGTAATGTTTGAAGTTATACCAAATCAAGAAATGTTTAGAACACAGAAGAAAGCAGAATAATTATCTAATAAAGTTCAAGTAGAGCTTAGGCATTAGCAAAAAAACACAGCCAAATAAAGTGAAAGGTTATTATTTGGAAAGAACAGTGATATACTAGTTCAGATTCCTTGGGCTACAAAAAAACAAAACTCTGAGTATAACTAGTTTAAATGATACAGACATTTATCAGTTCATATAACAAGTCCAGAGATAAGACAATCTTCAGTTACAGCTCACCAACCTCATCGAGAGCCCACCTTCTCTCTCTCCACTCTTCAGTCCTCTATATGAGGAATTTCCCAAAGCCCAGACTACTATATGGTCAAAAGTTGGCTGCAGCAGGGGAGGAAGCAGGAACTTACTCTTCCGCATCTCTTTCTTGGGAGCAGGGGAGACACGTCTCAGAAATTCCCCATTAAAATTCCCTTTAGGTCTCATTTACCAAAACTATATTTGTACGTTTGTAGATCAATCACTAGAAATGAAAATGAGGTTACAATTGAGACAGAGTAGGAATGGGGCTCAGCTTCACCTCACTCCTACTAGAGCATTCTTTAATGCACCCCCACCAAGCACAAAACCTACACCACTACCTCACTGATGCCTTAATGTTTAGACCATGCCTTTTACTTAAAGAATTCCAGGAACTAGGCTGGGCACAATAGCTCACACCTGCAATTCCAGCACTTTGGGAGGCCAAGGCGGGAGGATTGTTTGGGCCCAGAAGTTCAAGACCAGCGTGTACCCCACAGCAAGACCTCATTTCTACAAAAGATTGAAAAATTAGCCAAGCATGGTGGTCTGTGCCTGTGGTCCCAGCTACTCAGGAAGTTGAGGTGGGAGGATTGCTTGAGCCTGGAAAGTGGAGGCTGCAGTAAGCCAAGATCACACCACTGCACTCCAGCCTGGGCAACAGAGCGAGATCCTGTCCAAAAAAAAAAAAAGAATTCCCAGAACTGCCTTAGATGACCAAGGTTGTGGAGTGTCCTAGCTAGGGAAGGAATGCTGAACAATTGATTTACAGACTTGTTGCCTCTGTCCAGCCCATAAGGTGCCTATTACTCAAGATAACATAGCAACCAGGTAATGCTGACCCGCATAGCCTACCCATCATATGCTTTGCCCAGTCCAGCCTGCATACCCTACCCCTGATGTCAATTCCTGCACTTTGCCTAATAAAAAAGCACTACTAGCTCTTTTTGAGGAGTCAGTCGGGAATTCTCTCTTTTGTGCTGCCTCCCTTATGTCCCAGCATAAACTCCAATGAAGGCTTGTCTGGGGAAACTGTTTTGGCCTCTTGTCAATCTGTATTGCATTGAGAGACCAAGAACCAGTGGTCAGTTAACACCATGATTGGTTTCTTAGACAAAGTACAGCCTAAATGTGCTGAGTTTAGGATCGCCTTCCTTGTTTCACATGGGAGGAGAGGGTATTTGAACGAAACCATTTTCCATTCAGAAAGGAAAAGGAGAGTGTCAGCTGAGGAATAGATGAAGTTCACAAATTTGGAAAGTTATTTCTCGAAAAGGGTTGCAGCCTGTAGGGTAGCCATGCTGACAGGCTGACCCCACAGCCAGAAGCCAGAAACAGATACTCTGAGGGAGGGGCAAAGAGAACAGGAATTTATGCTGAGCAAGGTGGCCAAATATACATATTCAATAAGCTATAGGAGTCATGAATATTTATGAAAGGATAAATGTGTGCATGTGCAATGGAGCTTCATGCCCCTTCATGGGTTCCATGTACAAAAAATAGCAGTGTTAGCATGATCCGAGAGTGAAGTTTTCAGTTCTCTGACATCAAAAGGCGAAGCAGCGGACATGAAAACTCTTACTGTGCATTTTCTGGAGATGGGCCAGAACCACTCCATGTGGTAATCTCTTATCAGGCAAAAAACTAGAGGCAATATCAGGTGGTCGGTTGATATAAGTGGTGGAATCTTTCAAAAGGGCTGGTTTCTGTTTAGCCCTTAGGGAAGAAAGGCTCATCCTGAATATTGAGGAAGGAGTATAATAAAGCTTATTTGACCCCGGCATCCTGTCATGAATGAGAATTTAGCTTTCAAGGTTACCCTGGAGTCCCCTTGGCCAAGGCATGGTCTGTTCAGTCACTTGGGAGGTTTAGAATTTTATTTTTAGTTTACAGGAGTTAAGCAACCAAAATGTTAGGCAGGCAACCTAAATGTCCACTAAAGGTTATAAACACTGACATATTTTAATAATACCTTGATATTAATGTTTTAAAACCCTAAGGCACTTATATAGGAAAAGTAAAGGTAGAGCCATTAAATACAATGTAATTTTTATATAATTGATTAATATAATTAGGATTGCAAACCAAGAAATGGTATATTATTGTCAATGAAAAGAGTCAAACTCTGTAAAATATTTGAAGAGATTTATTCTGAGCTAAATATGAGTGGCCATCACCCATTACAGAGGCCCAGGAGATCCTGGAACATATGCCAAGCATGCCTATAGTCCCAGTTACTCAGGAGGCTGAGGCAAGAGAATCATTTAACTGAGGAGGCAGAGGTTGCAATGAGCCAAGATCACACTACTGCACTCCAGCCTGGGTGACAGTGAAGCCCCATCTCAAGAAAAAAGAAAAGAAAGGAAAGAAAGGAAGGAAGGGGAAGGAAGGAAGGAAGGGGAAGGAAGGAAGGAAGGAAGGAAGGAAGGAAGGAAGGAAGGAAGGAAGAAGGAAGTGGAAGGGAAGGAAAGGAAAAGAGAAAAAAGAAAAGAAAGAGAAAGAGGGAGGGAGGGAAGGAGGTAAGGAGGGAGGGAGGGAAGGAAGGAAGGAAGGAGAAAGAATAGTAGATCTAACTGTTATTTTGGGCATTTATATTAGTTTACTAGTGTTAGCAATGGCATATCTGTTGAGTCTGTAGAAACTCTATTTTTGCCTTCTTGGAGGAAAGAATTCTGCTGAGGGGCATAAGGCAGAGAAACTGAGGCAACTTTTAGAGCAGGAGTGAAAGTTTATCAAAAAGTTTTAGAGCAGGAATGAAAGGAAGTAAAGTACACTTGCAAGAGGGCCAAGTGAGTGACCTGAGAGATCCAAGTGCACTGTTCGGCCCTTGACTTGGGGTTTTACACAGTAGCATGGTGCCAGGATTTCTGTGTCTCCTCCCTTGATTTTTCCCTTGCTGTGGGCTGTCTGCATGTGCAGTGACCTGCCAGCACTAGGGAGGGACCACCTTACTGAAGTTGTCCACATGTTCACTTTAGGTGTTTTCCCCTTACCAGTTGAGCAATCCTAAAGGAAGGCCATATACTTGTTGTATGCCATTTTGCCTCTTAGCGCGTATGCTTGAGCCCTCTTACCCAACTCCTGAGATCTTATTGAGAAGCCACCGATCACCAGCTTCAGGTGTTTTCTGTCTACTGGGAGATTGCCTTTCCCTGATGCTGGCTGCAACCAATTACTATTTTAGAGAGACAGTTTAACAATTGCCTCTCTAAAATAGCAGACATGGATGGGGAACTCTGCTGCCTTGCTCATGTCTGCCTGGCTACCTATCCTAACACTAGGGCTAAAACCTAGTGCATTCTGAATGACTTAAACAACAGAAATTTATTATCTCATAGTTCTGGAAGATAGAAGTCCAATATGGAGGTGTTGGTAGGACCATACTCCCCCCTAAAGGCACTAGGGAAGGATCTGTTCTAGGCCTCTCTCCTAGGTTCTAATAATCCCTAGGCTTGTGGCAGGTAACTCCAGTGTTTACATGACATTCTTCCTGTGTGCATACCTGGGTCCAAACTTCCTCTTTTGACAAGGACACTAGTCATATTGGATTGGAAGCCCACCCTACTCCAGTAGGACCTTATCTTAACTAATTACACCTGCAACAACCCTATTTCAAATAAGATCACATTCTGAAATACTGGGGATTATAAATTTAACAGATAAATTTTGGAGGACAGTATTCAACTCATAACAACTTCATTGTAATGGAAATAAGGTTGAAGAAGATAAGTATCAAGAAAGTATGCTTCAAAGGATAGCATCAAGAAAAGATAGCCAGGTGCAGTGGTTCATGTCTGTAATCGCAGCACTTTGAGAGGCAGAGGTGGGCGGATCACTTGAGGCCAGAAGTTTGAGACCAGCTTAGCTAAAAATACAAAATACAAAATACAAGAAATTAGCTGGACGTGGTGGTGTGTGTCTCTAATCCCAGCTACTCAATAGGCTGAGTCATGAGAATCGCTGGAACCCGGGAAGCAGATGTTGGAGTAAGTAGAGATCATCCCACTGCACTCCAGCCTGGGCAACAGAGCAAGACTATGTCGAAAGAAAGAAAGAGAGAAAGAGAGAGAGAGAGAGAGAAAGGAAGTAACAAAGGAAGGAAGGAGACAACTCACAGAGTGGGAAAAAATATTTACAAACCAAGGGACTTGTATCTATAATATATAAAGAATGTTTAGATTTAATGACAAAAGATAAATAATCCAATTAAAAGTAGGCAAAGGATCTGAATATCATTTCTCCAAAGAAGATATACAAATGGCCAATGAGACATGAAAAGATGTTCAGTGTCATTAGTCATCAGGGAAAAGCAAATCAAATCCAAAATGAGCCACCACTTCACATCTACTAGGATAGCTAGAATAAAAAAGCCACATAATAGTAAATGCTGGCAAAAATGTAGAGAAATTATAAGCCACATACGCTGCTGCTGGGAATGTAAAATGGTGTAGCTGCATTCAAAAACAGTCTGGCATCTCCCCAAAAGGTTAAGCAAGAGTTACCATGTGATCCAGCAATTCCATTCCTAGATATGTACCCAAAAGACCAGAAAACTTATGCACATTCAAAAACTTGTACATGGACTGGGTGTGGTGGCTCACACCTGTAATCCCAGCACTTTGGCAGGCCGAGGTGGGTGGATCACTTGAGTTCAGGAGTTCAAGACCAGCCTGGGCAACCTGGTGAAACCCCGTCTCTATGAAGAATAAAAAAATTAGCCAGGCATGGTGGTGCATGCCTGTAGTCCCAGCCACTTGTGGGGCTGAGGCGGGAGGTTCACTTGAGCCTGGGAAATCGAGGCTGCAGTGAGCTGAGATTGCACCAGTACACTCCAGCCTGGGCAACAGAGTAAGACCCTGTCTTGAAAAAAAAAAAAAAAACTGGTACATGAATGTTCATAGCTGCATTATTCACAATAGCCAAAAAGTGTAAACAACACAAATGTCCATCGACTGATGAATGGATAAATAGAATGTGAAATATTTGTATATATAATAGAATATTATTCAACAATAAAAAGAAACAAAGTACTGATACATGTTAAAACATAGATGAACCTTTTAAAAATTATGTTAGCTGAAAGAAACCAGTTACAGAAGACCATATATTGTTATTATTCCACTTATTTGAAATGTATTATATCATTCCATTTATATGAAATGTCCAGACTAGGCAAATCTATAGAATCAGAAAATAGAGTAGTGATTTCCTTAGACTGAAGGGAGGCAAGAACGGGAAGTGTCTGCTAATAGGTATACGGTTTTTTGTTAGGGTGATGAAAACATTCTGAAATTGATCATTTTGCTAGGCACTCAACCCTGTCACTATACTAAAAACCATTGAATTACAAACTTTAAATGGGTGAATTTTATGCCATGTAAATTATATCTCAGTAAAACTGATATATATGAAAGACTTGAGGTTATAATTTTTAGAAACCATAATAACAATGCTTGATCAAAATGAAACAGTAATGGCCGGG